CACACACACACACACACACACACACACACACACACACACACACACACATTCTGTATTTAGAGATGAATGAATAATTAAAAACAGACCAAACCAGTGGGGTTACATGTAATGTAAAAAGAGTACAGGGATCTTATTTTATTTATTTTATTCCAGTTTTTCTGGACTTCTGGGACTGCAGAAATGAATCAATTAAAGAAAATTAAACACTGGTGGATAGTGTGTTATCTCCTTGTTTGTTTTGCTGGTTGGATAAAGGAATACAGAGCACAATAGAGTCATGGCTCTGTCTTCATAATCGAGATTTTTCCAATAATGGTGATGACAATAATAATAAAGTGTTAGCTGTTTATAGCTTGGCTGCTTTCATGTGCAGTACCACAAATGGCCATTAGGTGGTTGTTTCTAAATAAAGGAACTTAAGCTTCAATCAAAAAGCGTTTTAAAATCCTTTCGTTTTTTCTCATCCACGTCATTATGACTTCAACCTTATCAAGCTGGTGAAAAAATTAAATCACAGTACGAACAAAAAAAATATAATAAAGTCGTTTTCAATTAAATTATCTTGAAAATGAAACTTTTAGGATATCATCTCAGTCTTAAAAATCTTCAGTCTCTACTCCAGCCATGTTAATTATCATGCTAGTGTTTCCGTGGCCTTCAGCACCCCAAGGTTAAAACTAAGCCGTAACCTTCTTGTCCTGTAAAGATTGTAAGATTTGTGAACTTTTTTTCCCGATGTTTTGTGTAACTGTGACTTTTTGAAACTGGAAGCCTTTGGTTTAGTAATATAAAATAATCTTTGAAAAGGAAAGCACTTCTTTTTCAAAGATTTAACTAGCTTCAGCAGTCACTTTACCATCTTTCGATTTAAGTCTGCACTGAGCCTTGTCCATGATGTAGCTGCGATGAATATTGGGTACAATATGCCAAAAATGGCAATTAGTTCCCTAATTCCCATTTTTGCTTTTGTCGGTTTTGGGTAGTTCAAGAGAAACCTCTCAATGAATGCCAGAAAGATGTTTACTGTTTTGAAGCTATCCATACCTTCACCTGTTCCCCTCTCTTTCGCTCAGCACACCACTGTTCTTCCTTTCATCATCATCGAGATGCGGACCACCCACCATCGGTATCCCAGCAGGTTGTGGGGTCTGGCGGCGGTGTGCTGCTTCGGTGTGGGATATATCCTCTGGTAATGAATGTTTACTCTTCTCAGCAGTCAATAAATGCCGCGTACACCACACGTCCTAAATAAGTAACAAGTGAAGTGCCTTGACATTTAGCAGTATGGGAGAATTAAAGGTGCAGTATGTAATCAAACAACAATTCCGTATGTTTAGTTTTGCGGTGAAATCTACTGGTTTTATTACGCCACAGAATACAGTAATAGTCAGTGTAGCATCCAGTCTACCCCTAGTTCAACTTAAGCCAAAGGACTACAGTATAGTAACTGATGTGTAAAATAAAGCCCATCAATATCTCTGCTTGCTCAGGACATGTTGGGTGCACCAGGTGACGGGCGTGTGGGTGTACCCGGTGCTGGAGCGCATCGCACCCGTAGCTCGAGTCGCCTTCTTCAGTGCAATGATGGCAGTAATTGGTGTCTTCTATGTCCTCGGAGAAATCCTCAACAGCTACATCTGGGAGAAACCACACACAGGTATACACACGCACACACACACACACAC